ATGTTTTAGATTCAATTCTCACCAAATGCAAATTTGAACCACATCATTGTCAACCGATTATGAGGCAAAATCCACCCCACTTTTATTAGTGCAAGTTATATAATATCGGTTAAAAAAAAAAAAAAAAAAACCTTGTGATCCAGCTTCCTCCAAGATTTTGGATCACCAAAGTAAATTCTAATGTTAGCTAATGTTAGCTTCCCTGCAATTTCAAAGTGAGGGCTATCGTCAAGTTTATAATCATTTGTATTTTAATTTTTGTAGGGCGATAATCTAGCCAACTTGAATTTGGATGCAAGAGGGCGGCACGTGTCTAATAAGTTTTAGTTATTGCAGAGCTATAATTTTGGATGATGCTATGTTTAGCCCTTCCATTTAGAAATAACCTTATACCAATTTATTCAAACCCATGGCCCTCCAACAACAATCAAGGTCTGCTTGTAAAAAAGAAACAAAATGTCTTCTTATCAATTTATTCAAGCAAAAATCAAACCCATGTAAAAAGAATAAATAACAATCAATCTCTTGCTATTTATTCAAAGATGTAAATCAGTAAATGCAGATACGATCATACGATATCATTTTACATTTCACATCAAAACCAAAACGAAAGATTGATTGGAGTACAATGACAATCAAACTAACTTTCAGTTCCACTTAAAACAATTGTCATATTTGTTGGTGTCAAAATTAAACCTGCATGGGCCATTTGGTACTACACTATAGTAACACAAACGACAATCATCTCGGTCTCTCTTGTCTATGTATATATCGAACCACTTAAAATTATTTGGCCACGCAAAACTGCAGTAGTATAGCGTACTGTCCCATACGTTAGGTCGAAAGCTAAATTCAAACCAATCATGAAGGGCAAGCACTTTTTCACCAATATCATCGTTCTTGGATTTGCAATGGACGGTTAGGGTTGAGTTTTCGCCCAAATCATTTGTCACTTTGATGTGTCTTCTCGAACCTACTCCTGCACAAAACATGGTCATTGTGAAAAATATAAGCAGCACCAGCAACAAGGTGTTTCCAGTGAACGAAGCCATGCTAGTTTTCCTGAAGAAATTTTGTCTTGATGGAAATTAAAACTGATGCACAAGGATATGTGCACAGTGCACCTCGTTCTTTTGTAGTTGCTAGTTAGGGTTTCATATGGTTTCACGTTTGGTATAGTGACCTTTTTGGAATGCTATGGTTATGGTAATACATGAGGTTCATAGAACCTAATAGATTAGGACTAAACTTCATGGATATATACAAAGAATCAGGGATAAAAGATAAGAATTATGGTGCTGGCTGAATATTTACAAACTCTGCAGTAAAATCCTTCTGTACAATTCTAGCTAGGCAATTTGTTCTTATTTTTTTTTTTAATCGAACTAGGTAGCCTATTACCAAATGGATAAATAAAGAAATTATAATTCTTGCAATCAATGGAGTTTTAAAATTTTACACCATACGGTTCACACCATCTCTCTTGTCCCTTGTCCTCCAACAACTTCCTTCTAAGCACATAAAGGCTTCCTTTGGTATAGAGGACTAGATAGGAATGGATAATCATCCAAATTCAATGTATATTAAGGATATACGAAAATAATTTTTATCCTGAGATGATTTTAAGGGGATTGGATTTGAAGGAAACATCTTCATTCTAATCCTCCCGTTTTGGGAAAGATTGAATGGATAAGTTTTCTCTGACCTTCAAGTTTGCCCTTATTAATTTTTTTCTTTTTTCCTTTAACCTACCCTAAAAATAGTGGCTAATCCTCCATATAAAACAAGGCTAGTATACATGTATGGAGGTTGGCACGTTAGTGCAGGAAAGCTCTACCCTTCACATCTTCCACAAGATAATAGCTAGTGAATAAATAGTGTCATAAGTCACAACAACGTACGTATGACATTACAAAATCATATGCATGTGAAATGTCACCATAAACTTTCAAAAATAAATGAATATAACAATTGAACCCTTATTATTTATTCCCGATATAAATTATTACATGTGAATACTAGTTCATCTTCCATTACATAACCTCCAATTTAAACCATAGAAAACTAGATTAATTGACTTGATTAACTCCACATAAAGCATTTGCTGTACTTTTGCTCGTCCCAGTCGTACCTGCACGGAGCAGCTGTGGTAACACTCCAGTAACACTTGCTACAATATACTTTCTCTCTCTCATGATTATATATTTCGAACCAGTGCGATGCACCTGGCCACTCAAAACTGCAATCAAACTTCGTTATGGTGATAAAGCTAGGTTTGAAGTGGAATTCAAAGGAGGCGTTCGTCGCGAGCGTTTGGAGACCAAGATCATCGTCCTCGGATTTACAGTGAAGGCTGAGGGTCTGGCCCCCCTCCAAATTATTTGTGACTCTAACATATCTTGTCTTGAATGCATCACAAATGGTGACTGTGAACAAAACCAGCGTGACTAGCAGCAGTGCTGAACTTCCATTGAACCAAGCCATGCTATATTGCTCGTTAATTTGAAGAAAATTAAATTTTAATTCTCTGTGAAAAAAAAACACCAGAAGAACTATGCTTTTATAGTTGCTAGCTAGAGGTACCACTACCATCCACAAGGTCTCACATTTGCAATAGTGCTTTTTTTTCGGCCAGGTACATTTGCTATCAAGTTCTTGATTATAAAATTTTGGTAATATGCCAAGTAATGGTGGTATTTATTACCCTATTTATCATATTTCGATAAATTTAAATTTCGAAATATGTGTAATGGATAGATATCAATCTTAAAATTTAAACTTATCCAATGGTAATAACTAGGCTGGTCAGCATTACCACTTAAAAGTGATGAGAAAAAAATCCACCATAAAATTATTAGTAACAATCTTGTTAGAATAATTTACAATTACGGAAAGAAATATAATTATTTCATAGCAATGATTTTAACTAAAAATGTTGAAGAGCTTTAATGTGTAGTTACCATGCAATTAAGATCTAAATTATACAAACAAAATTATCCCGCTTGGGAATTTTCTTTATACAAACGATATTATTCTTCTTTAAACCTGAATTAAGCTGGAGAAAGAGAATTCGAATTTAGATCTACGATAAACACATATATATTCTCTATTTGATTTTGAAAATCATGTACAGTTGGTTAGGAATACTAGGAAATTATAGGAACAAGGACATAGAAAAGAAAATGATAGCTACGTAGATGAAGTATCACTACCTTCTTTTAGCGGTACTTTCTCTAGTTATAAGTAAGAGAGATCATAAGTTTTTGACTCAAGTGGATGATGTGTTCGATAAATTATTATAACTTGTTTATTGTAGAGAAGGATTTGCATGATATGAGTTCATCACCATGTAACGTCCTGTGCAATAACACAAAGACATGTGTTACCTTTTATACACATGTCATTATGTTATAGGCACAAGACACCACCGTAGTAATGAACTTATGCCATACATATTGTATAGGCTCATTGTGTGACTTTACTCAATTATTCGATGAATTATTAATTATAACTAGCTCATAACTCATATTCTTCAACTTTAATAGTAGACTATTGTCCGATTATAATTAAAAATGAATGATAAGGGACTTGTAGTTTATTGGATCATAGAATTCTCTATCGCACCCAAACTCCACAAGTTCGAATCTCTCCTCTACAATTTTACTTAAAAGAAGATAAAAAAAAAAAGCAGTGGACGAAGAGGAATATGTAAGGCAAGATGAGATCATGCAAAAAATTGAACAAAAGAATTCGGGCCAACTACATTTCACACCGTTGAGGTTTGTGGAGTTTTAAAATGATAAAAGAATTCGGGTCAACTACATTTCACACCGTTGAGGTTTGTGAAGTTTTAAAATGGACCATGAAATTTCAATTTTCTCATTTTACACTATGATGTATTAAAATCATATCAATTTATGTCTTTTGTTGGATCAATTGTTTAATATTTTATTAAATTAATGACATAATAAGCGTGAAATCTTTGTAAGAGCTAACGTGCAAATCACATTTGCATTATATTGACCAAAAAAATTATCAATTTAATAAAAGATATAGTAAAAAAGGCAGAAGGTGTAAATTATAAAATTCAAAACTTCAAAGTTTAATATAAAAAAAGTTATAACCTCATGATTTGTTTTTAAAATATCAATTTTGAAGGTCGTAAAATGTAGTTACCTCAAAAATTTCAAACGAAATATTATCGGGAAATTTGGAAATGTAGCCATTTTAGAGATCACCTATTGAAATATAACCTACATTTTTCATGTATTATAAAACTAACCAAAATTGAAGTTAAAAAGACTTATTGCCCTTAGTTTAAAACTTTCCCTGCTTCTAGAATCGTACGTGGTGTTTTTTCTTTCTAAATCTTCATCCCCATTGTTTTTTTTTTCTTAAACAAAATTCCTCCACAAAATGCACCAAACTAGTCTTGAATAAAATACTAACAGTCCAAACACGGCAAATGTAGATAAAGTGGTAAATGTAATCTCATCACTTGTCTGCCTTAGAGACCTTTGCAGCAACTTTTCCTGAGACGACCAGTCCCCCTAGCAGCAATGAGACCAACCTTCTGCCCAGGAGGAGCGTCACGCCTGACTCTTGTAGCATGTCCAATATGTGGTGATTACCTCCTCCGTGAGGATGCTTCACAGCCTCGGCTGGGTTCATAGCCACACCACAAATAAGATTTCAGAAAACTTTTGTTAGTTTTGACTGTTTCTTCATCTAGTATTGCGAGTACTGCTTGGTGTGATCACTTGGTTCAATTACGTTTGGGTAAAGCGAAGTTCGGTGGTGGCGTTTCAATGGAGATGAGGAGTGTTAAGAGACAGCACGCGAGTGTTAAGAGAAAGTTAAGGTAATTAAGTCTTTTTAACTCTAATTTGGGTTAGTTTTATAAAAATTAGAAAATGTAGGTTATATTTCAATAAGCGATTTCTAAAATGGCTATATTTCCAAATATCCCAATATTATCTCAGCTGGCAAAATACCTTATCACTTATACGACGTCGTATCACTATCTTGCTCACTACGAGCGCGCGGTCGCACTGAGAGAGCTTCAAAGGAAACGCAAAAGCCGGACAGTTAATCCTCGCCCCCTCCCCGCCAAAACCTCCACAATTTCCACTGCAGCGCCACCTCGAATCTTCCCTCAGGTGGGTTTCTTCTAAATTCCTCAAATTTCAAATATTTTTTTTCCCTTTTTCTGCAACAATTTTGACGGATTATGATGCTGGTGTGAGTTCTTAGTCGAACAATTTGAACAATGGGTGTTGAAGAATCTATGGAATTGGATGGATTGTTAGAAGTTGAGAATTGTGTTAGGTGTAACGATGGTGGTTCTGGAAGTAGGAAATTGATGGTTTGTAGTGAGAAGGGATGCCCAATTGCTCTCCATGAGGAGTGCATGTGTGCAAGGCCTGTTTTTGATCAATTGGGAAAGTTTTACTGCCCGTATTGCGCGTATAAGCGGGAGTTTTTTCGGTGTCGGGAGTTGGGGAGGAAGGTAATGGGGTCCAAGAGTGTGTTGTCTAAGTTTATTGATGCAGGAGAGGGGGAGGATTGTGGGTGTGAGACGGGCGGGTGGGGTGGTGTTGAGGTTCGGGGTCAGTATGTGGGAGTAGAAGGAGGTGGGGCTGTGGAAGGGGGAACTGACCAGAGGAGGGAGATTGAAGATGTAAGGGGTGAGGAGAGAATAGATGAGGACCCTGAGGAGGAGGAAATTGTTGAAGAGACACAAGAAGAGGATGCAGAGCCAAGAGAAACAATGAATAACGACAATGCACGTGATGGATTAGACCGAAGAGATGAGGAGGATTGTCTAAGGGTGTCGGAGGAGAGCAAGGGAGGAAGTGATGAAGAAGAACAAGAAGAGGAGACAGAGCCCCAGAGTGGTTGTTGTGTACAAGAAATGACGAATAATCACAATGCACATGGATTATCAGACCAAAGAGATGAAGAGGATGGTAAACGGGTGCCTGAGGAGAACGAGGGCGAAAGTGAGGATGAGGAACAAATGCAGTCAGTGGAAAAGGAGGTGCCCGGAAATTCTACTGTTGTGCCTGAATCTGATGAGTTAGATACGGGGTCTCCACTAGTGAGGAAGCAGCGTTTCAAACAGAAGAGTAAAAGGATAAAACAGCCTCAAAGTGTAGCTTCCTTAAGGACAGTGCCCTCTTCATCAAGGGAATTATCAGCTCGTCGAACAAGGTCTGCAGAGGAGCATGCTAAAAACCAAAATGGAAAAGCTAAAACCTTTTCCAAGAAGGAAAGAGAAAATCAGGAATCTGCAAGGTGATCATGAGTTGTCAATTTTTTTTTTTTTATGAGGTTATCTATGTTGTTTGATATGTTTTATATGATAAAAGTAGATGGAATGATTCAATATTCTCTTACAATTATTAATTGGCAATCATTTATTTCTCCTATTATGCAGAAACTTGGTACTTCCTAATGTGAAGGGTAAGAGATCAAAATGGACAGATGAAGAGATAAAAATGTTGAAGGTATTGTTCTTCCTGATTTTCCAGAATAAGTTTCATCATTTCAAATTTTATCAGCTAACTATTGTCTAGATTCCTTCCCAACAACGGTATGACGATGCCTGATTTCATCTCTCAAGTTATTAAATTCACCTTTTTTTTTTGCTACAACCAGAAACTGATACTGCCTTGTTCTAAGATAGATCTCTCCCTTTCTCTTTTATTTAGGAGGGCTGAAAATTTGGATTAGGAGTCAAAGTCAATTATCATACATTTTACTATTATACCCTTGATGAGAGGATATATTGACATGGCATGCACTTTAGGAAATGTGGAACAAAACAAGCTACAAAATACAACTCCAAACCAACCTCTGTTTTCTCCGTCTCGATGGAGAAACTGTGACAGTCGGTTATTTATGCATACATTAGGCCTTAAATGTCAGTGAAGAAAAAGAAGCTTAAAGCACACCTCTATAAAAAATTTCAACTTCTTTGTCTTTTACATAGCCTTTTAAGTGCCGACTCTCTCTCTCCCTAACCTCTATCTCTATTTTGGATTTTGAAAGAATTTTTGAAAAAAATTGCAAAGGTAAATCAGAAAAAGGAAAAAAAGTTCGCTGGCTAGGGATAAAAAATGCTGTGCATGACTCATTTGAGTTCAGTACTTTACTACTTTCATATGATTTGTTTAAGTAGTTGGAATCTAACTTAAGTAATCTTCGGCTCCAGGAGGGAGTGAGAGTTTGTGGATCATCAAACGGAAAGATGCAGTGGAAGAAAATTTTGGAATATGGTCATAAAGTGTTTCACAGAACCCGTGAACCAGTTGATCTTAAAGATAAATGGAGGAGGAGCTTGGGGAAAGAAAATAAAGACAATGCACATGATGGATTCGACCAAAGAGATGAGAAGGATGGTATAAGGCTGTCTGAGGAGAATGAGGGCAAAAGTGAGGATGAAGAACAGATGCGATCAGTAGAAAAGGAGGTGCCTGGAAAGTCCAATGTTGATTCAAAATCTGAAAATTTAGATACTGGGTCTCCTCTGGTGCGAAGCAAGCAACTCAAACAAAAAGCTAAAACGAAAGAACAGCCTCCAAATGCTAAAACCTTTTCCAAGAGGGAAAGAGAAATTCAGGAGTCTTCAAGGTGACCTTGAGTTGTATTATCAATTTTAAGTCTAGTGTTCATGAGGTTATGTAGGGAATGTGGTATGTAACTATGAAAATAGTCATTTGATATTCTCATAATTACTAACTGGTGGTCATTTATTTCTCCTATTCTGATGCAGAAACTTGGTACTTCCTAATGGGAAGCGGAAGAGATTAGATTGGACAGATGAAGAGTTAAAAATGTTAAAGGTACTTGTTTCTGGTTGGCTTCCTGCCTTTCTAAAATAGATTTATCATCTGATATAGTGTCAGCTAATTATGTTGAAATTCCGCCAAACAGTATCGTGAACCTGATTTATCTCTATTTATCAAATTTGGCTACAATTAGAAACTGGTACTGCTGCATTCTATTATACATCTCTCCCTTTCTCTTTTATTTAGGAAGGAAAACGAATTGGGTTAGGAGTTTAGGTCAACTATCATAGACTTTTCTATTATACCCTTGACGAGTGGAAATTTATATTGACATATCATGTGCTAGATCATGACACGCGTGTTTGGAAATGTAGGACAATCTACAAAATACAAAACCAAACCAACTTTTTTCTTGCTTGTCTCAACGGCGTAACTGTGTCAGTGGGGGGATTTATGGGTAAATTAAGTTTTGGTATCAATAAAGAAAAACAAGCTTAAAGCGTACGTATATAAATAATATAAATCACTGGCAGTGTTAAAAGTTTTCAAATTCTTTGCCTTGTACGTAGCCTTATATATGCTGAGTTGTTTTTTTTCCCCGGCCTGTGAAAAGTTCTTTAAAAAAATTTACTTCAGAAATTTGCAAAGGTAAATCAGAAAGAGGTTAAAAACTTTGCTGGCCACGGTATAAAAAATGGTGTTGCATGAGTGAGTTGAGCCCAGCGCTTTCTCCTGATTTCTCAAGTAGTTGGAATCTAATTCAATAGTCTTCGATTCCAGGAGGGAGTGAGACTTCATGGAACATTAAATGGAAAGATGCAGTGGAAGGAAATTTTGGAATATGGTCATAATGTGTTTCATGTAACCCGTCAACCAGTTGATCTCAAGGATAAATGGAGGAGGTACTTTCGCGAAAAAGCTAGAAAAAGGTGAACATCACTTTGGACTCGCATAAAACAGGTAATTACAGTATCCGTAGTTCATTTATTTTATACTATTGTAGAAGAAATCGGTGGATCAATATTTATGTAGATTTTTAGTTTTCTATATCATATTTGAGCACTTTGGGTTGGCCATAATAGTAAAGATACTGTAGCTAGTCTTTCTTTGTTAACTACGTGCTCAAGCTATATTTATCTTCAAATTGGAAAACTGGCCACTAGATTATCCACAGAAGTGCGTCTGAGTAGAATGATCTTGTTATAGCTAGTGCCAAAGGACATTGAGTAATATGTTTCTAACTTTCTAATGGTTTGGGATGTCTCAAAACCTTGTAACAAGTGGTATTAACAATCTTATCTTGCTTATTGCCTGCAAAATCAAATTATAATGCCTGCACCATTCACTTATCGTCAATTTCTAGCATTCGATAGAAACCAAGGAATTCAAGCGGTAATTACTAACATTATCCCAACTTTCTGTCAAGTACATGCAACCCTGTTATTTGAGCTGTCTGGTCTTATACACAAGGTGTAACCAATTCTTGTCAATTTCTTGTCTATAACATTTACTAATTATACGAAACTGATTTTGTCTCTACAGGTAATGGCGATGTTGGTCAAGAATGTGCTGCATGTGTGCATTAGAATGGTTGATGAGTGGGATGGAATCGACCAATTTGTACGTCAATGGTAATTTATGTGGTCGGCATTTCGCTTCAACCTGGTGTTAACAAAAGCACGGCATTAAACCCAAAAGAAAATTCATCCTCAAGGTTCAAAACGCAAGCATTGTTATGAAGTTGCCGAAACTTGTCAGCCAAGGAGCTTCAGCCCTCGAGGATTTCCTTTCGTAGATCACATTAGGACCTTTTTCACTTGTGTAGTTTTATATAAAGGATGTATCAATGTCATAATCTTGAAGTTTCACATACCAAACTCTGTGAACATGGGTACGATTACGATGTTTCTTCAACAATAAAGTGTTCTAGTTTTCGAGCATCGCTTTCCCGAGTGACTTCGTAAGGTATTGTAAGATGTGAGGTGAACAATTGGCAAAAAACTTTTATTTGAGATAGAAATAGAGCATCTACAGAGCAAATTCCTGAGGTCTCTTCCTCAATAATTACATCGTAGTTCCGTGAAATGTACGTTACAAGAACAGAAGACAGAACCGCTCAAAGTGCTCGTTAAGTTGCTGTAGCTGCGTACTCGTGGCTCCTCTCAGCCCAGTAACTAGAAAGAACCTCCGCTGTCAGCAATAAACGAGTGGAAAATAAGGTGGCTAGATTACTGTTCCACTAGGAATCAAGGCATCCTTGATCACTGTGACAATCGCGCTCTTTATGAAATATCCGTCTGTTTCTCTTGCTGCTTCTTGCACATTGTCGATATTGATAATCTGTAATTTATAATCGTCGATGGTCAGTTTCACAAAGATAAAATATAAACTGTTTCGTGTGATCAACTAAGAAGAATAAATTTATAATATGAATGTATGTCCAACACGACCTTGCATCGAATGTAAGCAGGGAATAGGAAGTACACATAGGAATCGGTTTTCTGTTTCCATTTAATAAGTTTCAAATCGGCTATAAAATTTAGACTTCAAATTAATAAACTGAAATAATCATGTTATGCTGATAATATCCTTACCTTAACATTTTCTCCAATTCGAGCATTCTTATCAATTATAGCTCTCCTAATGTGAGAATTCTTGCCAATACCGATTGGAACGCTACCCTTTGCAGCTAGAAACCTCCTGTCAGCATCAGTCTGGGGCACAAGAATGGCATCAGAATAATCTAACCAACCCATAGAAATATCAAACCGACAGTGACAATATTTTGAAGGGAAGTCCATTCATCCTGATAAAACAAAAACATGTTTATTGGGTCATGCCTTAAAATAAAAAGAAGCAGGTTATACCTCATAGTAGTCAGCTCCCATCAGTAATGTGTCTTCAATGACAGCACCCTCCGCTATGCAAGACCGAAGCCCAACGACTGAATGGTGAATTTTACAGTTCTGTGTTTACGAAAAAAGTAGGGTTGGGTCAAATGAGCAGGACTGCAATACATTATTCTGATCTCTGTTTCTTGCAACAATAGCACATGGATGTAAGTTTTTCCAAAATCGAAGAAAACATGGGACTAGGATATGACATTATAATGGAACATTTTAGCAAAATGATGAATATTTCTATAAAGAACTTTACCTTTATTACACATCCCTCGCCAATAACACTATCTGTGACATCAGCATCAAGCATTTTTGATGGAGGTAAATACCGAGGTTGGGTGTAGATTGGGGATGAACGATCATAAAAGCTACAGTATTAAGTTCGAAATTAGGCAGGAATATTAAATCGAGATCAAACTGATAGCATAACATATCAATTGGCCCAACATAACAGATAACAAACAAGTTATAGAATAAAAGGTACCTGAAATCTGGAACTGGTTTTTTTGTTATCCCCAAGTTTGCATTGTAGAAAGCCTCAATGGTACCAATATCTTCCCAGTAGCCATCATACAGATAAGCTTGAACCTGTAGGCATTACTAATTAGTATTCCTTCCAGTGCCTGAATATCTGGATGAAGGGAAGCAGGGTAAAGAACGTATGGAACTGGGAAATACTATCATATAAAATCAATTTAGGACATCGTCTTTTTCATTAGAAAAGGATTTATTCAGTTTTCAATGAATGATATTTGCAATTGTGTAATACCAGACTATAATGGAGTTCTGATTGCTGCTTCTGCAAAACAAGAACTTGGTGTTTCAACTGAATAAGAGGGTGAGACTTGTCCATCCAATACACTTGACAATTATTCCAATCTTTTTCCCCCAAAGTGGACGATGCAAAAGAACCTCTTTTGATAGATCGTAACATAAAAAGTACAGATTAAAATACGACATGAAAACTTACCCTCAAACCAATGGAAGTTGCGCCTGGAATAACTTCACTCCCGAAATCATTTGCACCAGGAAACTTGTCTCGAAGTAGATCTAACATGACATTTTTGCTCACAACATATATACCCATACTGGCAATATAAGGCATCTCTTTAGCTCTCTCATCATCAAGACCCAAGATAGTAGTATCAACCTAAAACAAAACAGAAACAACATTTTGCATCGCTACTCAATTACACACCATAACCCACTAGCGCTCCAATTCACAATGAAACAAATACGTAATGCACTAAATAATTTAAACAATTTGCAAGTGGATCTTTCACCTTCATAGCTTTGAGTTGCTCCCCTTTAGGTTTCTCAGCAAACTCAATAATCCTTCCCTCTTCATCAATCTTCATCAAACCAAAGGCGGTAGCACGCTTCTCATCCATGGGCAGAGCAGCCACAGTGATGTCTGCATCAGTTTCTCTATGTGCCTGAATAAACCTCTCATAGTCCATCCTATACAAGTGGTCCCCAGCAAGAACCAAAAACTCCAACACATTGTGCTCCTCAAACAACCACAAGTACTGCCTCACGGCATCCGCGGTACCCTGCAAACCATCAAAACCAAATATCCAACTCAAAAACCAAACCAAAACCCAATATCCAAACTCAGAAACCAATCGAAACCCGATTCCCAACACAACCCCACAATTACTAAACAAGCGTTTTAATCACCTGAAACCAATTGGGATTCTCAGGGCTCTGCTGGGCAGCAAGAACCTCAACAAAGCCTTCGTTTTTGTAGCCACCCATGTTACTAGCATAAGCACGAGAAAGATGGCGATTGAGCGAAGCGGAATTGAACTGGGTCAGCACATAGATCTTTGATACGTTGCTGTTGAGGCAATTACTGACTGGGATATCGATCAGCCTGTAGTTTGCTCCCAATGGAACAGCAGGCTTCGCACGCTTCTTTGTCAATGGGTAAAGCCTCGTCCCAGCTCCCCCACCCAGTATAATCCCCAACACACTCTACACATCAACACAATCAAATTCCCAAAATTTCAATCAAAACAAGAACTCATTATGCTAAATCGCTAATGCATAGAACAAAAGCACCAAATGCGGTACAGAGAGAAATGAATTACTCACCCGGCTCGCATCGGGATCAAGACACGTCTGAGAGTTCTTGGAATCGGAAACAGCTTTGGGAGACACAACCAGCGGCGGGACTCTGTTAGTGGGCGATCTCCTCAAACAGGTGCTGGGCGCGGAGATTTTGGTCCCGGAGAGATGAGAGCCACTGAACGAGAGGCGGCTGATGTTATGGTTCTGCTTCGAGTTCCGCAACACCGACGATCGGGAGGTGAGCACTCCGCTTGCTGACATCGAAGAGGACGCCATGGAAGAAGAAAATCCAGAGAGAGAATTTCAGAGAGTTGCAGAGGGGAGAGAGTGGACTGTGGGGACTTGGGAAGTGGCAGCTTTCATGATATTTCGGGACATATTTACCCTTACATTTTGGTGTTAATTACGCAAACCCGACCTCAAATCCAAAATTCCTCAAACACGGGAGAGAGGGTATTATAGATTTTTCAACCATCTGTTAATATTAGTAGTTATTTGACGGAAGGGAAGGATCACCAAGAATCTGCGGAAATCGCGAGTATTTAAACAAGTGGAGGTCATTAAACGTCACGCAACGGTGGATGGATCACATGTGGCATGCGGGGTGGGCCTAAGATTTACATCACATGTCACCACTTTTGCTTACCATCGTCTAATTTTTTATTTATACCGACCGATGAACACATATTTTATGTGTGTGAATAATTTTATTTTATTTTTTATTTTTTTATTAAAGAGTGTGATTAGTTTTTAAAATTTTAAAAAGAGTATAAAAAAATGATGGTGCGACAATTTCTCTTAATAACTGCATATTTTATCTTAATATTACATCATTACTGTTTTATCCATCTTATGTAAATATTGTGTATCAAAAGTGAAGGTAAATTAGAAAAAATAGGAATATGATTTTCATTTTCTCAAAAGATAGAAAATTACTATTTTGTCCTCCTTATGTAAGTATTGTGTATCAATAATGAGGATAAAATAGAAAAAAAAAGGCAAAAAGTTGACAAGAAGGGTTCTCCTAATAATAATATATAGATGGTTATAAAACTCCTTCCCTTTACACGCTTAACCCACATGGCTTTAATCCATTTTATTTAGTCCTTTTAAAAAAAATTGTTTTATTTTTATTTTTTATGACAAAATTACCCATGAGAATTTGGTTCTATTATTTTTAGCCAGTTTTGGGTTTTTTTGTTTAAGGGGCTCTTTAGTCTAATTATTTTTGGTGAAGCCTTGAGACACCAAGCTTGATTTCTAGCTTTCTAAGATTAGAGATATATACTATCTTTTTGGAGATTAATTTTCAATTGGTGTTCTGCTATGACAAATATTTCATATTCATAATTATTAGGGTAAAGTACAAAAAACTATCTCAACTATTGATGTCACGACACTTTCATACCTCATCTTTTAAAATTGACAATGTCATACCTCATCTTTAGAATTTGGTCTAATGTTATACCTTCTGTTACTTGGCCGTTTACTTTTTAGTTAAATACTGACGTGACTTGATTCGGAGCCAACTTTCTATTAAAAAATCATTAAAATATTATTAAAAACTAAAAAAAAAAATTATTTAATTTTTTTAAATATTAAAATAAGAAAGAAAAGTAATAAAAAAGAAAAAAAGAAAACAATCCTCAGTTCGTCCTTCCCATTCCCTCCCTCCTCTCTCTTCTCCCCATCTTCATCTTCTTCCCCCCACTTGCAACCCCCAACAAAAAAAAAAATTCCAATTTGTCTTCCCCCGCACCCACCCTCAGTTTGTCCCCCCAACTCCCTCTTCCCCCTCCTGCAACCCAGAAAAAAAAAATCCAGATATCGTCGGCGGGAAGATGGGTGCGCGGAGAAGGTGAAGGATGGGTGCGGAAGATGATGTGGAGAATGGATGAGAGTGGTGGATTTGGGGTTGGCAGTGGGTTGGTTTTGGGGGGGGGGGGACGAACTGGGTTCGCTTTGAA